CTTCGAGCGGTCGATCAGAAATTGCGTAGTGTTTTCTTAAAGGAATCTTGCGCGGAAAAATCATGATTCTATTTCAGCCATAAATCACTGGCTTGAGACTCATTATCCACGATAATAGTGAAAAGAACTGAAGTATTGCTTTCGTTTTGATTAGAAATTCGAAAACTCGAAAAGGCTGCTACGCGTTCGAATTGCCCACGGACGTCTTTCACGAATGCTGGCGACGGGGATGCTCAAACTTGGTTCTTGGAGTGCATTCACTAGAAGCTCTTTCTGGCCTTCTGCTTCGTTGTTCATGTTAGGAAAGAGTGCAAGAATTTTCCGCGCAAGATTCCTTTAATTTGCTCCAAACGTGCCTTCCGATGCAAAACACATGGAGTAAGAGCGTTCAGTAGAGAAGCTGAAGACGGCGAATAGTCTGAAAAAAAAACAAAGCAAAAGAAATTTCTTATCACCCCGGAGCAGAGACCTCATTCCTTCAGTCGTATTCCACCTTGTGATGGAGGAGGGAGTAGGCGGACGAGTTTTACGAACGGCTAGCTCCATCTGCTGCAATGGTAGTGACGACCAGAGTCAACCGTCACTTTGTCCAACGAGCGGGTGGGGGTCGTATTTGGGGTGGAAAAAGGGGGGTCGTATTTCGCGAGGTAGCTTCAACGTTACAGTGCGGGAGGGGATTATACCCCCCCCTGACGGCAATTTTGGAGGAAAAAGTGGGCGGAGTTGGGCTGTGTCGACTGGTCTCAGAATCAATACTATAGAATCGCCCCCATGATGGCGATGGCAGGCGAGGGTGGTGGAGGATGGTCGTGAAGGGTTAACCCTGAGGGGGGGTCGTATCGAGGCCCTCTAGAAGGGGGAGGGGGTCGTAAAATTTTCGGAAATTGGTCCAACGTGACGGTTGACCCTGGTGACAACCCACTGCTAACGCAGCTCCACGCCCTCCTCGCAGGCCGACAACGAAGCGGGGCTTACGAACCGAAATGTTTACGTGGGTCGAGCCAACATTTACGAATTGTCGCGCAATTTGAAGCCGGAAAGGAGCCAAGGCAGAAGGCCACGAATACTTGTCCGCCTGTGTATCAGGATGGGGATGGAGCAAGCGAACATGCCTAATCCCGCACCGTGCCTTTCACCGTCGTCCCTTTTTTCCTAGTATGCATATCTCACAAAGCCGGGACACACGCATTTCGCGATTTTCCTTTTGGATCCAAAGAAGAGAATGTAGGCACAGCTGCTACGCCACTAAAGAAACGAGCGAATAATTCACTGGGAACCCAGAAATGGGACCACTTCTTACTTCTGATTAAAGTCATTGTGTGAGGTTACGCTGAAGGACACGCACATGCACACGCGGATGAAAGACCTGACGACGATGGGGTGAGATTCAGTAAATACTAAAGAGACGCAGGTCCCAGTGTATCAGTCCTAAGGCGAAGACTGATATAATGGTGGCAGAATGGATATCGGTCGAGGACACTTCAACGGCACGTCGAGGATTTTCGCCTGATCAGTTACGCTCTCCCGCGCGGACATTCACACTCGCCATGCGCGAGCCGTCTGTGCTCTCCGCGCGTACGTTCACTCTCGCACGGTACAGAGCATGGTCGAGGAACTCCTCGACCGTTGTTCATCCTACTTCGAAGCTATGAAGCAAACGAGTAAACTTCGAAAAAAAAATAGGAAACATAGAAATTTCTACATATTTAAGATATCTTCAAGCCTGCGTCAATTGTAGGAAGCACTGAAGACCTGTTTGGGAGAGATCCAATACATAGAAATAGTGGAAACTGCCATTGCAAATGATTTATTCGGGTGAATTAGAAATAACAATTGTAAAGTAGAAGAGGAATGATAGCAAACGCAATGATGAATGCAGCTTGGTATTCGATGAAGGCATTGTTGAGTCCAGCTCTAGCGCTCTAATAAATTTTATTGCGTGCATCACGCTATATAACGCGTGTATGAGTGCAAATTGTGCTAGACCTTTTCCGTGAGAAACAGGAGTTCTCATAAATTGGCAGACTGCCACATATCAATTGAAACTATTGTACCTGTTACAAGTTATTCTACAAATTGACTATTAAGTGAAATGAAATGCATAATAACGAGATTAAAAATCACTTTGTGCAGGATTACAGAAATAAACCGCATCTGTCAAGAAGTGAGAACATATGAACCAGTAAGAATCGCGGAAGTTGATGCAAAAAAGCGGTTACGTGCATTGCAATCGTGCGCTGCGCCTGCCTTCACGCTTCATCTCACATGCGACATCTGTCACAACGTGTTGCTTCATGCAACGCGTCTATATAAAATGATTTTGGCTGCGTTTGCGGAAGTTTCGAATCAAACATAGGACCTTTTGTCAGGTGTTTACAAAAATTGCTCTTTTCGTTGAAACACCAATAAAAAAATTGTGGACACGAGGATAGAAGGTAATAAGAAGAAAAGCCGCAAAGTGAGTAATGAATGCCTTCGGAAATCGAAAATCGGTAGAGGAAGAGAAACAGGGCGCGGGTGAAAAGGTGGGACCTGAATTTCTACTTCTCACTATGTGGTGCAGTATTGTCGGTATTTCACCTCTCTTCTTTGCAGCACTGCAATTGATGTCGGCCTTCAAAAGCAGCAATTACAATAGGTCTAGAGGGGTTTAGAGAGGACGCGAGGGTGCTCAGTGGTACGCCAGTGGCTAAAAAAGCAGAAAAATTCATCAAGAAGACATAACGAGCCTTAGCCTGTTTTACTGGTCCTCACTGCGCCATCGGCCCATAGACTGAGGGAACATTTCGAGTAGGCTATTTTAGAGGTACTTTTGTTTTTGTTTTCTTTTTGATCTCGATCATTCTATCAGAACTAACCCACTCTGTTGTTGTCATAGCGCACCAATGAGTGCAAGATAAATGAACTAAAATAAAAATAAAAAATAAAATAAATAACGGGACCCCCTGGTTGGTCATTGATTTTCGCTAATGGACGGGCAACGGCTCAGACAGGAAGTATGGACGAGCTTACTGCTATGCTTCGGCGGCGCCATGCCTGCTGCAGTCGAGTTGCCCAGAATGTATTTTTGCTGGCAATACAACTCGTCCAAACCACCCAGTAAGCTAATAGGTGGAGCGTTTTTCAAGTAATGCCCAGCAACTAGCGTACATTTTGTGGTGGAAGCATCATAGCTGAAACTAAGACCTTAACCTTCAATAAGGTCGGATGTGGTACGATGGCGAGACAGGGCGGTCAAAGAAGACAAAATACGCGAGAGAGCACGTCGTTTGAGAGAGCACGCTGATCTCTACATCAATGCACGCTGATCTCACCACATCTCGCGGTGGGTGGGAAGCGTTGGAACGGGGTCGATGGTTGCAGGCCCGTAAGGATTAGCGCCCTAACCGCGCAATTTTCGCGACGAAGCTGGAGTGATCTAGGTAGGTACGGACCTTACAATTTCCCTCGTGGTATCCCTCCTACTAGTCGGGCTAATCCCGGGGTTTGCCTTTAAAATCGTTGATCTTCCGCCTGCAACCGCGTAACCTAACCGATAATCTTGCTGACACTTGCACATCGAAGTGATAGGGCTCAAGCCGCGTCTCCATTCGAATTTTCACATATCGTTCATGCACATTCCCTTTCTACTCCTTTTTTATTTTTTTGCAGAGCCTTGGACTCCATTAACCAATATGGTGTATGCCAGCGCGTCACCATATGCGGTTCTCATCTCAAAGAGGAGTGACTGTGCTAACTACTGTTACCTCGAATGAGTTCTTTTTCATCCCCTTGGGCAATTCGAATGTCCGAGGGCGGACGTTTTGGCTAAAAAGGTGAGGTTTGAGCATTTGGTTCGATCGAAAAATCGAACGGGATTAACGGGCTATTCAGCTGCGATGACTTCTACAACTGCAAGGGCCAGACACGAACTGATGCAAATAGCGTATGTTAGCTTGATAATGCGAGCTGAAGTGAGAGATGACAGGACGACCACTACCGAACGCCAGCAATTCGTCAGCCCCGATCACGGCTAACTTCTATTCCTACTCTCGTCAGTTCGCTCTGATCCCTCTTGCTGGTAGCCCTTTGCCGGTAAAATGACCCCATAAACTGTTACTCACATCCTGCTCTATCCTCTACGAGCCTGTAAACATTGGGAAATACCCCAGACTCATTGTTGCATTACTAGAAGGCGAGTGGACGTTCTCGACTGCAAATGCTCGCCGACGATGACGCAAATGCATAAAATTTTCAGAGACTCAAGTGCTGTAAAATAGGCTGAATAGTCTAATAACGAGGCAAAGCTATGGAAATTACTTAGATGAGCTTGAAGGCATGCCTCAGACCCAACTGGTGCTGTCTTTGCACACAAATACCGGGGACCAGATGGGCCGGCAGAAAGCACAAAGGAAAAGAATCCGTCAAAAACGCTCAGGTTAAGGGCTTGCTCACCTTCGTAATTGGCTGTGCTAAGGCAATGAGAGACTAAGCGCGGAGAGGAGAGTATGAGGCGAGAGAGCGCAACAGATGAGAGGGCGCCAGACAACAGCCTAAAACATTGCAGCTGCTGCAGCTTACTTTGCAAGGCCCTAGCGCCCTTGTCAGGTGAAGTTCATGCACAGGAATCACATTTGTGATTGTCCTCCTCGGCTCTATCCTACAGACCTAAGAGAACCGTTCACACGACTTCTGCCTGGGTGTGCCTTTAAGTCATCCTCGTCACCATTTCACAAGAAATTACGGTGTACATGCTTGCCGGTTTCCCATTCCCGAGAAGGAGTTGATTCTGGAGCAAACTAGAGTAAATTTGGCTACGGATTCCATTGAGCTAGCCCCTATTCAGCCCTTATACCGCTTCTACCGAGCGTAATTCCAAGGCATTTCGCAGGCAACTGTGACAATACGTGCTTCTTGGAGTTAAGCCTAACTTAGTGGTCATATAGAGAATAAGCATGAAGGCAGTGCAGTGAGTGCTGTGCATGATCATACATGATCGTCTTGGCTTCGCAGGCTTCAGTCTACTTCTGTTGGTCAACATAAGCTGGTGGTACGCCGACGACGTCTGTGTCAGCCACCTCATCTTCAGCTGTGTCGTCACTGAGCGATTTCGAACGAAGACGTGCACCAGGAGGCTGAAATATGCGATAGATAGCGATCTCCCCTCTAGGACTACTAGAGGCTTCAGAATTTTTTTGAAAACATTTGAAAGTTTTAAAACTAGCTAGAAGTCAGCAGTCTACCTCGCCGTCACTGATGGATTGCTCGTCCTCTTCCTCCTCGTGACAGAATTCGTTCTCATTCGCGGTTTTCTTCGTCCATCCGCGTACTGAAATATGCTATTTCTAGGGAATCAACTGAATCGTAAGTAAGCATAACTAAAATGAGAAGAAAAAAACATTTTTTTTTCGAGTTCACGAAGACAACGCAAACATAAGCATTCTTCAGTTAGTGTTTCCAGAGCGTCAAATTTAAAGGAATTCAAAGAAAAGGATCTGGCTGAGGATGTGGGCGGGGTTCTGCAAAACCATTGCATGTTCGCCATTGGTAGGCCTTCTCTAACAACGTATCAAAGCAGAGTGCACAATGGTACCGAGAACCCTTCGATATGGTCAATTGCTCTGGGGCGGGGTGCAAGCCTCCAACTCGGGGATGGGTCCCCTGAACTCTGCATTTCTGAACGCTTACTCTATTCTTGACCATTAGAGTTGTGTCATCGACCAGCCTCTGCTGATTTTCAGTGCTTGACGGCCAAGTCATGAAGGATTGGTGAGCAGGCCAACAATGAGACCTGCCAATCGCAGGCACCATTGGCACCCATAGCGGTCCTATAGCTTTTAACTTTTATAACATATTTATCCACCTAGTACACCGCCTCGCGACAGCTCGCATCCAGCGCCATCGTTTCAGAACACACTAACTACCAGACGTCTATTACCCATAAGTGCTATTCGCTCACTGTTGATGAAGAAATAACGATTAAGGAATGCGCTGTTGGTTTAACTCTTGGGTAAATTCTGGCTAAGGCCGATGTTAGACTTTGCGAATCGCTACTAGCGATTCGAGCGATTCGCAAAGTCTGACATCGGCCTAACGGAACTCAATCCATCTGGCGACGGAGTTGTGACTACACTACGGCCTGGACAGGTACCGCTCTGAGGCAGCAAAGAGAG